GGGGGGGGGGGGGGGGGGGGGGGGGGGCGCTATAGCGTAATTAGCTACCAAGTCACCTGATGCTGAAGGACGTTCTCTCTTGTTTGTTTGTTTTTATGATGGGAGAATGCTACTAAGTCAGCCACCTCGAATAAATTATTTTGAAATTCCCCAAACTGCTTTAAAAAAGGATAGATTGGTCTGTCTTACAAGTTAGCCAGTATGCTAGCTCGTGACCAGCAGTGTATAGGTCTAAATTGAAGCAAACTTACCTCATACTGGATGTACTGTTTTCTCCACTCTGGCGTGATGTGAGCTGACAGATGTTCAGTAAATTTCATTTTTGACAAGTTTGGTGGTTTCCCTCTGCTGCTTTCACTGATGCCAGAATCTGTCCGGTTTAGCTTAAATGCGGGAGCTTCCCCTGTCCCCAACCAATTACATCAAAACTCTCATTCGAAGATTGTAGTACGATGTGAATGCACGGCCAAAAAACCCAGACAAACCTTTTTTCTGATTATGTAAACATAGCTGGCCGTCCCTTCACGTTTTTGTTATTTTAAATTCAATCGATTAATTGCTAGTTACTTCAAAACGTTGCATTCTTTTTGCGTGAACTGTCGCACTACCGTCATTAAAATAACAGGCGTATGTCTCTGGTAAACGGGATTGTAACGCTGACGTTAGTAGGGTCTTGCCATCTACAACACTAACTATCTCCGTCGTTCCTCCTCTCCATCTGACGTCTGGCGGGGCCTTCATGTGCAAGGGAAATATCAAAACTTGCCGATCGTCAGCGCGCATGATCACCAAATTTGTGGGTGTGACTGAAAAGGGATTTTTCAGTAGACGTCACAAGTTTGATGAGCTGCTCGAATATACACGTAGTGTGTGAACTAATCCTGCGGCTATATATTTAAATGTGGGAAATATATTATGTTCACTTCTTTTACAGGGGCTGTTTAAGACAATGTACTTTGGTAACAAACACTAGTATTGTTGTTATTACTGAGTACAACCAATTTCTTGGTGATACACAAAATTCATAGAAAAATAGTCAAGCTGTTATAGACTGATATGGTGATTAGTTGTGTAAGCTACCTTACCTTATCATGAAAGCTCCTTTCTAGTGGCACGCAGGTGTGCGTGTTCTTTCTTGTTTCCTTCCACAATAGAATAAATAAAATCTTTTTGAAAGGCCTACAAAAAACAACAAAAATAAAAAGTACATACTATAATTAGCGCAAATACAGTACGATCTATCAGAAATAGGTCACTGTCATTACCTATTGGTTGATTATCGTCGATAGCTCATTAACGGCTGCATTGTTTTCATATGTATGTTAGTTGACTTTTTGGTCTTGCAATCAAACCCACGGGTAAGACAAACATACAGAATATACGTGGTTTGTTCAATAACAATGAAAATATTAGTCTTATTTAGTTTTTTGCAATCTTTAAAAAAAGAAACATTATTGTGATTTGCATAATATCTTATCACCTTCATTTCACCTCAATTAAGCAAATTGTGAAAACTTTACAACTAATAGTCATCTAGTAAGTTAAAAAAAATGCACACAATTTTTTGTTGAATGGACAGTGTCATCTAGTGTTAATGTAGGGTACTGCATTGTTTCATGTTTAAGAGTTCTTTTTGTCACAGATGCGACATTAAGTGTCATTGTTAATCAATATTTTTTCCCCATTTATGTCATCCTAATATTTACATAGCAAGATAAATTGTATTGGTAACATTTGTAACATAGCTCTATAGAGCAGATCAGCACTGACCTGTTTTCATATAACATTTCTATTTGGTTCATTTTTCACTCATTTTGTAATATGGATTCAGTGAGCTGTTGCTTAGTCTTTTATAATGGTTATTCTAGGAATTTTTAGATAATGAAAATAACTAGTTTAACAATACACATGCACACACATACACACTCCCACAAACATACATGTATATATTGTTAGCAATCTCACCCCACAGCAAATGTTTTCCCACGTCAATTCTGGTGTTTTCTCTATGTGGTGTATTATGGTGAGTGACTAAGCAGGATCCCAAAATGATACCAAGATAAACAAGTTTGTATAAATCAAAGGAATTATTTTGTAGTGGCTAAATTAACACGCAAATGAAGATCACCAGGCAGCTGTGGTCCAAAAAATATCTGTGACATTTGTACTTCTTTGTTTGAAGAACAAAATTAATTAAGTTTCCTTGAATCCAGTTATATACTCCCAAAAAGTTGTACAATGCTTTCTCTGACTATAAAAAATAATTATGTTTTGGGCCAGTGTTAGCTGGCCAGTGCAGTGGTAACCAGACTTAACCACAGTTGGAGACAACAAATGCAATCAGACTACCAATGTCAAACCAGCCAGCTTCCACATATAACTCCATATATTAGGTCCATATATAAAGCTGACTTGTAGAGCATGAATGCACCATAATACCCATTATATTGATCCATTGTTCATGTTGAAGAAACCATTTATTTGAATGACAATTTAGAAAAGATTAATTCAATCATCTCACAAGAGTGAAATTATGATGCTCAATGATAAATAAATATTAAGCATCACTGTTTTGACTGATCCTTTTAAATCTGTAGGAGCCGCCGTGGGGCATCTGATTAAAATGCAGGCATGATGAAAGTTTCCAGAGTATTTATTGCAGTTGTTCTTCAGTTGTTACATGTTAAGTTATGAAGTTGTGGTTGTGAGGTTGTGAAACATTCTGTAAACTAACATGAAACAGCTCACTCATAAACAAGAATACTAAACTTACGGTTTATGAACACACAACAACATCCAAAATGGCACAAAAAGTCCACAGAAAGAAAGGGGGGTCCTTTCCTCTCTATCTCTCCATCCACTGGCGTGTGCGTGCGACCCTCGTGACTACACCTGTGGAGTGTATTGGGGTGCGAGTCCGAGGGTCGCATGCGCAGGACGTAAAACAGCCAGAAGGAGGCAACCTGATAATATGGGAAGTCCCTAGTCCTTCACAACAATCACATTTTAAAATAGTATTAGTTTCAGGCCTTAACATGAGGCTAAATCTCATAAGTAGTGGTAAATACACATTCTCTGTCACATGTTTTCAACAAACAGTTGAACAGTTGAACAATAAACAGTCTATGGATGGGGTAGGTGGGATCTCCAATGATTTTGGTTGCTTTTGACTGGTAGGGACTGTGAGCAATGTCCTTTGGACCTTCCAGGCTGAATTGGGGCAGCTTTCGTTCCAAATGGAGATGGAATTAGGCAGTAGGCTTCCCATGATGCCACCGTAATAAGTGGTGAGGCCAGGAATGGTTCAGTTTAGCTCCTTAGAGAAGTGCATCCACAGAAACTTGGTGCTCAGGGCAATCTCCACATCGACTCCTCGTATGGAGAGAGGAATATGGGTGGTCCGCTTCCTCCTGAGGTCAGTAATAACTTCATTAGTCTTGTCAATATCATGTCCAGGTTTTTGTTATTGCAGAAGTCCACCCAACGTTTCACCTCCCATCTGTATGCAATTTCATAATTGTCCTAGAAGAGACCAACCACTGTCATGTCCATTTGCGTACATTAAGATGTGAAGCCAGAATGTCATCACATTGAACTGCAGCAACCTTTACACAGAGCCCTGGGGGGAGCTGGTGCACAGCCAGATAGTTTTGAACACGTGTCACTAAACCATACCTACCTGGATAACTGCGTACCTTATACAAAGACAGTTGTTTGTATCCAATACAGAAATCCTTGTCACAAGGTGCACCAGAGGATACTCGGCACTTTCCGATTCTCTTGAAATTGCATACTTCACATTTCTAATACAACCCATAAAATGGTCATTTCCAGAAATACTTAAATGGCCCTACATTTGTTTGAAATATCACAGGAATAAAAGTATATGATTAATGACTTTATACATAAAGTCATTGATAATAAAAAACAAAGAGTTTCCCATGGGTTTTGTGGATTTGTTTCTAGGGTTCCGTTCTCTGTGTTCTATTCTGATGTCTTTCCTAATTTCCTGTGTTCCTCTCATGTGTCTCAACCAACATCACTCCTAAGTTCCTTCCTGTGCTGTAATCAATTCTACACTACTCTCTTACATAAACCTCTCCATTTATTTAATGCCTTGTGAGATCCTTGCAGTGTGTCATGTTTGAGTTCAGGTCTTCATGTACTCATCTTCCTTCCCTGTGTTTCCCTCTTCCCTCTGATGTTACCTGTTTAAGGTTTTTTTGTTTTTTCAGTATTTTTGTTTATATTACCTAGTGCTTTTTCAGCTTAGTTCAATATTTTGTATACAGCAAATCTGTGTATTTATAATTTTTTATTGTGTATACCCTGAGTTCCTTGTTTATCTTTTTTTGGCCCATCAATATCTCTCACAGACCATGTAAAGGGGTCACTTGAAACAGCTACAGGTACTGTTAAAATAGCTGTAGAATAGGAGGTTGCTGTAGATAAAACATTGGACAATTTCAATGGAACTGTGGACATGGACTTTCAGTAGATCTAAAAAAAGATCTACTGAAGCTTTTTCAGTAGCACAAATTCATATAATCTGCATACCAATATAAATACCATACCACATCAGTGGATATATATATTACTTTAATGGAGATTAGAATTGTACGATTGTGTGTCCAAGATGAGACTTTCAGGATATATTCAGGAACATGAACTGACTCATGGATAAATGTGGACTGTTAAATGTTTACATCTTGTAGAGCTGTTGAAAATACTTTAAATCACAAAATGAGCCTGTGATGTTGCTTTGTGAGGACTTTTTCTCAAAATGTCCAATGTGCAAGCAGATTAAGAGCTGCCTCAGATTTAAAACATTTAGCATGTTAGCAGTAGTTGCTAAATTGATTGTTACATAACATGTCATTCTGAGGGATTAAAATTAAATGCCGTGACTTAATATATTGACATGAGACTAGATCAGCATAGCCAAAGACACGATCACATTGCATCTGTCTTCCTGTGAGTGCTTGTGAAAGTGGGTTTACATCAACTTTTTTTAGTCATGTTATAACTGTAGTGATTTACTGAATGAAGACCATAAAAGGGTCTCTGTTTTTACAAAAAAAACCTAGAATACACTTGAAACTGGTTTAGCAGGAAAATAAAATTATTTATTTTTCCTGAAAGAGAAATCAGTTGCTTTCAACACATGGAGCGAATGACATGTTACAAAAAGTAAAGTCACTTTATTGAAAATGTTCAGTAATATATCATATGTTAATGTATAGTGGAGAGTGCAATTTACTTTGCTGACATACTTTGCTGCAGCATAAAAGCCAACTTTTCAGCTATTTCAACCTGGAATTGTTATATCAGTCTAACCTCAGGGATCTTTTGAGACCCACAGTTTACTTTCTACTTATGTATTACTGATTTGGTGTGTGAAAATGCAAAACTCCCAAATCCCTTACGAAATGTACTGATTTTTTAAAAGTGACTTTATATGAAATACTAAAAAGATTTATTTGTATTTGTACAAAATATTTAACCAAAATATCTGACCTGTATGGGGTTTCTTCAAATCCCTCAGATAATATGATCTTGCAGTACTATAGTAGTCATTTAAACCAACTATTTAAACTATTTACATTTTATATTACTGGTTTTACATGTTTTTCACTGAAAATAATTACCCCTTTTTTATACACAGATTATAGTAAATTGAGATGTAATTTACTGTACATTTATGCATTAGCCCATGCTTTTATCCAAAGCGAGATGCAAGG